TGGAATAAGCATGTTTAACATTACTCTTGCATAATCTTAACAAGGGTCCATATGTAAGCAATTGTGCGTGGCCCAAGTTTAAGTTGGAGCTCCATCATGTAGATTTGATCTTGACACCTTGATTACCACTTGACATGTCATGTTTGAGCTCAAACCTATTGCTTAACTGGTGATAAACACCTGGGGTGTTACAACACACATGCACGACGAAGCATGGCGCCCCGCGTGCCCGTGTTGCTCGCGCCAGCCATCGCCTTGCCGACCACCTAAGCCCTGGTCGTCCGTCGTCTAGCCAAATGGCCACGCCGCTGTTCCCGACAGACTCGTCCGGTATCGCACCGAACACATAGCGGCCGCCCTTCTGCCCTCGCCTTCAGGGGACACAGAAGCCCAAGGTGCTAGCTTTCGAAGCCGCTTGCCGTCCTTCACCTTACACAGGCATGCCGCCACGATCGCTTGCGTCAACACGATCACGGACACCCGCACACTCCACCGCACGACCCTGTGTAGCCAAGGAACCACATCGAGCTCTCAGCCTAGCACGCCCTCCTGCACCTTCCGTGACCTTTGCCCAGTCTTGCTCCTCACCAATGCCTTGGGCGGCTGCAACCTGCCCTCTCTGTTCTGGATACCCAAGCCAAGCCATAGCCTTGCCACTAGCCTTGGCATTCGCAGCTCCTAGCTGCCGTCTCAATGCCACTGCACCACACCGAGCACGCGTTGTTTCCATGCCCCGCCGCAACTCGATCCTCGTGGCATGCACGCACGCACAGCACGACGGTCATCTTGGCCTTGCTGCCGCCGCCCAAGCACACTTTGTGCATCCAAAGCTGAAGCCTTGGATGGTACACGGGCCACCATCAGCACGCCGACGTGCTCAGGCACAAGCACCGAACAGCGCGCTGCCGACAGCCACCCTGCGTCATGGACTGGCACATGGAGGCCCTGTCCTTGCCCTTCCTGTCTCCGGACCAAGAGGCCAGCCTTGGCCCAGATCGACTGCGCAGATGGAGCCTACGACCATGCCCCATCCAGCCCTGTCCAGGCCCGCCAAGGCCCAGGCGAGACCCAAACAGGTTGACTTCTGACTAGTCAACAATGACCGTTGACCGAGCCCACATGTCAGTGACCAGTACCGAGGACCCACCTGTCAGCCGCAGTTTAGCTCTAATAACGCCATGCTGATGTCATGCCGAAGATGAGACCGCGCTAGCGTCGGGGACTTCGGCAATCTCACCGACCACGTTGGCAACCTTTTCGACCACTTCGGCAATCTCACCGACCACGTTGGCAACCTTTCCGACCACTTCGGCAATCTCACCGACCACGTTGGCAACCTTTCCGACCACTTCGGCAATCTCACCGACCACGTTGGCAACCCTTCCGACCACTTCGGCAATCTCACCGACCGCGTTGGCAACCTTTCTGACCACCTCGGCTAGCCTCCCGACCACGACGGTGATCTCACCGACCACCTCGGTGACATCTTCGACCACCGACGAAAGCTCCTTTCTGCTTATCCTTATACTCATTCGTACACTTACGATACGTGATTTTGATCTATTTATATTTGTCTGCACCGTGCCCTTGTGCAGGTCTACCCATCCCCCTCGCTATGGATATGTGCTACTCCGTAGTCGTGTCGAGTTGTTGCATCTTTCGGTCGTGTTTGGTTCTTATTGCTGGTTGTTGGTGTTGTTGCCTGTGTGCCGAGCCTTCGAGCCGGCTGAGGGATCGTACCTCGTTCGGACGTTACGATCACGGGATCCATCTCGCCATGACCGTGATGCCGAGTGTAACTCGACCCCTCGCTTTTTAGTTGACTTTAGAGTACCACGAGTGTTAGTTCCTGTCTTCGGCCCTAGAACATGGACGTGATGGATTCAATATCGATGGCAATATCGATGCGGATATTACCCGCACATTTTGAGCCCTTCGTGACCAAGTTCTGTGGGAGAAAACCTGGGAGTAGACAATCGTGGAACGATGAATGCCAACTCATTGGCACAGCTTGTGGCCGCGAGTTCACCTCGCCATGACCATGGAGCCACGCCTCTCTTTCGCTTTTAGTTGCTTCTTCGTGCTCAAGCCCTTGTATGCTTGTACCCCGTTTGACCATCACGTTTCTCTGATTCTCACGGTGACAACCGCACCGCTTCGAATCCGAGAGATATCTCAGTGCCAGTGCACCCATGCCGGGTACCCTACGAGTGGCTTACGCACTTGGTGTTCTTGAGTGTCGCTCCTTCCGATGCCCCGTCTTTTGTCGTGGCGCGAGTGTTGGAAGAAGTGGACCTTGCTCTTGGATATTCTTGCTCTTATTGCCCCGATAGCCGCTCTGTTTGATTCCGTCTTGCCCATGACGATTGGATCAAAGACCGGACTATTCCCTTTGGGTTAGCAAAGCTATGGTCTATGTCGTACCTCAGACTCATCCGTGTCGACCCGATCGACTGTCTAAAACCATCTTCCCCGAAGATGTGTCTGGGAGCATAACATGGGCGTGCCTAACTAATCCCGCTTCTGTTGCCGTGTTGAACGACTGTCTCCTCGGCTCCCGACGTTGATGTGTCGTGTGGATCGAGAGGACCCGTCGCTGTCCAACCTATTTGCGCTACCGCTTCCTACCATAGCGGGTGAGCCAAAGTACATTGGAGCCAAGTCACAATAGTGTTATTCGTTCTTGTTTGCTTCTCATGTCCAATTGTGACTTGCGGGATAAGGCTATAAGAGCTGAACCCCGTCGTTCCTCTTCTTGGGGCCCGACTTCCAATCCCCGTCGATTCAATGACACCGGATCAGAAGATCGTGAGCCGTGGTGTGCGATGGATAAGCTTTGGCTTAAATCATCTATCCTAAAGCCATACCGGCTTGACCATGACTTAAGCTTATGCTTAGCAAACTACCATCTGTGATTCTTGGCCCGAGGAAATAGGACAACCGCCGAGAGGGCTAAGCCGTGTATCTCTTATTGTCTCAATGGCGTTATTGGATATTCCTGCATCTTGTCGTCTTTTCAAGTGTTGAGTGTTCTCTTGCCTTGCGTGTCGCTTCGCAGAGTGGCTGACGATCGGATCAAGAGAATGAGGACGACGACAAGGATTGCGGAATGGAGTCAACACAGGAGGAGGTGACTCCGCTAATGGAACACCAACAAATGGAGAATTGAACCACTACTACCTCTACATCGCAGGTGTCATGGCAGCACCCTCTTTTAGAGAATCCTATTAGACATTGCATAATATCTAGAACTGCTAGCGCTTTATAAATTATTCCTTTGCTAGTACTTTGATGCATGCTACTACCTAAGCCATTATTACCCTGATGCAACCCACTCTACCACGTCACCCTGCTTTGCGCATTCGCTCGCTTATATATGCTTACTTGCCTGCTTGCTTGCATATTACACCACTATACTTATTAATTAACTCCACTTCGCATTATGTCGGGGGATGTGATGCTGGTGGTGAACAACCTGGGAATGGTTTGGCTATGGGTGCCGGACTTGGTGGTGTGTGAGCGTGCTGCGTGTGTCTTGGGTGCATGGAGAGTGAGGGTTGTGTCGACCGAGCTGGAATAACGACGAGCTTGGGGCGAGTCTTGCCATGTGGTGCTACCTGGGCACTTGGATATGGAATACCTGTGGCGGGTGAATGGTAATTGGAGGTGGCCTTGGGTGTGAACCTCAGAGAGGTGGAGCCCTGGGTGGAGGTGTTGTGGTGGCACGGTAAATGGAAACTCTGATGAAGACATTCTGGCTTGGTCACCCCTAAGGACTTACTAGTACTCAGATTCACCGGGAATCCTTTACATCCCACTCGCCCTATATGGTGCGGGACGGTCGGACTACTTGGTAGAGCGATGCCACTACTGCTAGGCGAACGTGTGCAAGGAGGTACGGGGCACGCGGTTTTCCCCCCACACCCTTCCGAGACTTCAGGAGGCCTTGTGGACCGGCTCTTGACATCCGGTGGGCCCCGGCTCTGTCTACGACTCACAGTATCAGCCATCCTAGACTAGACTTGGGATGTTCCAGGGCTGAGAGGTAGGGTGGCATCGTTCTAGGCTAGCAAGCGGCCGGAATCTGCCTAGACGGGGCACCGTTGAGGATGGCTATCTTGTGGGTATGTGAAACCTCTGCAGAGTGTATGGTTGATCGATCGATACATATGCCGACTCGTCGGCTATGGACCTTTCCTGGGTTTCTCTTAAACTAGATAGGAGATGAGTCCTTCTATCCTCCATCCAGGGTTGGGGTATTTTCCGGTCGTGAGCCTTGGGGGCTGCGGGCCGTTGAGACAAGTGCCGAGAGGGAGTCGGCCTGTCGACCTGAGTGTGTGAGATGAGATAAGGTGTGGTGGTGTGGAGATGGTTTGGGATGGATGGTTGGTGGATGGATATGGATGGATGTGGATGTGTGTGGTTGGAAATGTGTTAAAAACTGGACATTATTATTACATTACTACAGTTACTTACTTCTCATGCGCTAAGGATGTAAACCATAGCCAAATTTTAGGATCGCAAGATTCTCTTTTTTTATCTTTTCCACCAAAGCTCATCGGTGCTGACCATGGCCTGCACACATCTGGCGTTGTGCATATTTCCTGCTTCACAGAGATGCTGACCGTAGAAGGATTAGGAGGTCTCGTGCCTACGCGCAAGTTTGGTTCGGAGATGGAATCTACGCTGCACTACGCCAACTCTGATGACGACCCGTGAAGGGGAAGCCTTCACTCGATAGTCTTCCGCTAGATTAACTCTGTAATAGGTGTGTTCCCCAGTGATGTAATATCTTGTATTCTTGTAATCTTACGATGTATGACTATGATATCGACTGATATATGATAATATGATGGAATCAACTATTGGTTTCATCATATTATAATTCATTATGTGGATTTTTCCTTCGCGGAAAATTAAGGATGTTTCACTTAAAGGCTTTGTTGTTGTATCAATTTGATGTGAAGATAATAACTAGAAATATTATTAGTTCACTCCAGAAGCAGAAGTGTGGAGCATTGGAGTTGAATGATCTTCAGGAAGCTTTGATAGAGCAAATAGAGAGAAAGAAACTTCTAATCGTATTAGATGACGTATGGAATGAGTACAGAGCCCCTTGGGATTCTCTTTGTGCCCCAATGATGACTACAGAATTCTGTAGGATTATTGTTACTACTCGCAGCAAGACTGTTGCAAGCCTTGTACAAACAATGCCTTCTTACTCCTTGAATTGCTTGACTTCTGCTGCTAGTTGGTCCTTATTTGAACAAATCACATTCGAAGGTCAAGATCCTGCTGCTTATGCAAATTTCATACAGATCGGTGAGGAGATTGTGAAGAAGTGCAAAGGTTTGCCACTTGCAATCAAGACCCTGGAAAGCATGTTGCGTTATGAAACTGACGAGGAGAGATGGAATTATGTCTTGGAGAGTGATCTGTGGGACTTGGATCCACAACAGAATGACATTGTCCCAGCACTGGAACTGAGCTACAGACACATGCCAGTTTACCTGAAAAAGTGTTTTATGGCCCTATCATTGTTTCCTAAAGATTATCATTTTTCCCAAGATAAGTTAATTTTCCTATGGAAGTCACTAGGTCTTCTTCATACTGATGATGTATGGGATAAGGACAGAACCGGAAAGTTATATCTTTCTGATTTACTTAAACGGTCTATTATTCAATGTAATGAACATGCATACACCATGCATGATCTTATCCATGAGCTTGCATGCTGTGTAGCAGGTGAAGAGTTTCTTAGACTTGAGAATGATATACCAGCCCAAATATCAAAGGATGTTCGGAATATATCCATATTCTTACCATGGACATGTGTGACTTCAAAATTAGAACATTTTCATGGGTCTAGTGCTCTAAGGGCTGTCATACTGAGTTCAATGGAGGGGCTTGGTGGTCCAATTGAAATATCTGATGAGCTATTTGTTTACTCCAAGCAGTTACGTACTATTGTTTTGGATGGGGTTTCACTTGCAAGACCATCATTACATGATTCAGTGGGCAACTTGAAGCATCTACATCATCTGGTTCTTCGAGACATAGGAGGATTGAAGCTTCCTATCTCCATATGCCAGCTCTTTAACCTGCAGACCTTAGATGTGACAACTTCTGGTAACTTTAAACCAGCATGCATTCCAAATGGAATTGGACGCCTAATTAATCTGCACACGCTGCCTGTTATCACTGTTAAAAGAGGCGCTTGGCATTGTAATATGAGGGACCTGAAGGACTTGCAAAATCTTAGTGGGAAGCTATGCTTAAAAGGATTAGATAATGTGACCATTGTTGATGAGGCAGAAGAAGCAAATTTGTGCAGTAAACAACATATCCGAGCTTTAAATTTTATATTTCCTGATGGAGATTGGCAATACTGCAAACATGGCCAGGAGCCTGCACCAACTACAGCTTCTCATGAGGAAATTCTAGAGAACTTGCAACCACATAGTAACCTCACTGAACTTTCTATAGAAGTTTGCAGATCATGTAGATATCCTAGTTGGTTAGGTGACACTTCCTTTTCAAAGGTAACAGTGATAAGATTGGAATATTGTCAATTTGAATGCATGCCACCACTTGGTCAGTTGTTGGCCTTGCAGTATCTTACAATTGCTGAGATGTCGAGAATAAAAAGCATTGGACCAGAGTTTTGCAGACTCAATCCAAAGACAACAGGATTTAAATCACTGGTGACCCTGGAATTTGACAGTATGCCTAGATGGTTACAGTGGTCCGGAGTGGGTGATGGTTCATTTACCTGCTTACGCACTCTTAGCATTCAGCATGCCTCTGAACTGAGATCCCTGCCATGTGCACTTTCTTTATCCTTGGCCCAATTGAAACTGCGGGATTGCAAAAATCTGGTCAGAATTCCTCATCTCCCTTTGCTCTTTAAACTGGATTTACGTCAGTGTGATAGTTTAACTGAACTCCCTGCGTTCCCGATGCTTCAAAGACTGGACATAGGTCAGTGTTCCAGCATGGCTCGACTTCCTGACCTCCCACTACTTAAGGTTCTGATTCTACAAGATTGTCCAAACCTGACTACTGTTGTTCACCTCCCATCACTTACTAGCATCCATGTCAAAGGAGGATTCAGAAATGAGCTGTTGTACCATTTCACAAACTGCCACCCATCTTTGGAGAATATATTGATTGTTTCCGATTCCATTGAGCGCCTTTCCGTGGAGCCCCAAAATCTTCCATCGCTAGTATCATTAAAGTTGAGCTGTCCTAATCTACAATTCTGTGATGGACTTGCTGGACTCACATATCTAAAGGAACTTAAGGTATATGGTTGTCCAAAGCTCAGTGTTCCTAATCTGCATCCGAGCCAACTCTGAAGTCTGAATTCAGCAGCTGCTTCGTGGAGTTATTTCCAAATATGGATATTTTTGTAGGGTTTTTTTTTTCTTCAAGGGTGGACAACCAGGTATTTTTTGCAGTTTCTTGTAGGTTCTCGATTTCCTGGTTTCCTGGGTTTTGCACCTCACTTTACTCAGCTTGAAGTAAATGTTGAAATCTGATTGTTACAGGAATGCACCTTGATGGATTTGGTTCTTTCTACTATCCCACTTCATATTGTGTGGACACATCTTTACAGCAACAGGACATGTTTATGGCTATCAACTTTGGTAAATCTGGTTTCTTATGTTGAATTGTTGATGGAGCGATGAATAGACGCTTGTTCATTGGGTCATTACTGATGAGCACCGGCTTGTTCATTGGTGTAGGCGGCGGCGAGGCCATGTCGCCTTATACATATCTCTAATAATCGGGTAAGCCATGACTGGATAGTGATATGTGGTTTCACTGCAGGGTGAACAAAATTTTCAATCATTGTCAGATTCTAGACTTATTGCACACATGACAGTGATGGGGGCAGTATGGATTGTGTGTTTTGCAGTAATGCTGTCTACTTCATATTTAGTTGTTTTAGGAATTGTGTCAGCCAAATTCTTTTTATTGTTGAATTTGAAACCAATGATTCATATTAGCCATATAGTACCTTAGTTGATGAGTCAAAATCCGGGTGTTCTGACCGATCATGATATATATTTTAGTTATGTCATCAACTCATCATTACTTGAAAAATTCACAGAGTGACCGTAACTCATGTGCAACCTAAACGTAATTTCAATATAAAGTAGTTGTAACTACAGTGTAAGAAAGTTCATGAAATGGGAGGCTAAACACCAGAATTGTCCTTACCTTATGTACTCATTATCAATTCATTATTTAGCACAGATTTTAGTCCCATTATTGCTACATCATATCTATATTTTCACGATAAGATTTTATTTAATTGTAGTTTTGTGATTAACACGTTGCTTTTATAGTTTAATTAAATTTGTCCTATTTATTTGCTTGACTAATGTAGCACTCGATTTTAAGAACAAAACCAGATACACACCATATGTGAACCCAGTAAATCAAATCTCACATATAGCTATAAATAAGGGTAATATCATAAGACAGTGCTTATTACATAGCATATTAGTATAAAGAATACAACCTCAGAGTATAGACAGCGGAAAGACAACTCCGATCTTCAGGTAAAGACTCCACTTCCACAGGGACAACTGACTGGTTGATCATAAACCTAATTCCTCCAAACTTTAGCAATCTGGTACCCATCCGAGATTTTTATTCAAATAATTAAAAAATAAAGCAAGCGTAGGTACATGTCGTACTCAACAAATATAACATGGGGTTCATGAAGCTCAAAAGGCTGACACTGGTTTACTACAATTAGCTTTTAATTGTCACAATTTTAGCATAGGACTAGCAACAAGTTTATCACAAGCCCATATAAACACTTGATCAGGTAAACATGAATAATAAATAGCATAAACAGTAATAATTAATGATCATCTTCATCATTCGTATCATTAGTGTTCATCATCTATTCCGTAAGGATTCCAAGACCACTCGTGATCGTGAGCACGGCTGATATACCAGTTTTACACTCTGCAGAGATTATACACTTTCACTGTGAGTCGTGATTTACCCTTTCGCCCGAGGTAGCTAATCTCTTGACCCACTTCTAAGGAAGGTCGGCAGGGTTTACTATGAAGCCTTTCAAAGGTTCGTCTAACAAGTTAGGGCATTAGATTCACTCGACAAATAGATATAGGAACCCCCTGTCGAATGACACAATTCTATCACGGCTATATACATAAGAGTAGAGGATGTCCTATACCCGATTCGTCAAGCCATTCTTACGCCAATAAAGGTAACCACTAATAAGCTAGAAAATATCATCATACTGAGCTAAAGCCAGAGCTATGTAGCCCTTACAGTTATACTGTAAGTCCCGGATGATCACTTACAGATAAGTCCTTAGGGAGAGGAATCTAGAGCACCATAAAAACAGCCCAATGCTCTAGCCCCCTTGTTCCATGTTACTAAAAACATCTTTTAATGTTTATTGGATATTCCATTAGTCAAGTTACAAGATCATGGTTGTAGTAGAGCACTAGCATCATACTACCAATGCATAAACCCATATAAATCAAGGAATCTAGGATATCAAATAGCTAGAAAAATTACTATGGTTGCCAAGGTAGACACGTGCATATGATTAAAATAATATTAAAAATCTGCTACTTGATTCACCACGTATAACTCACCGACTGAACAAGATCGTAAAGCACCACACAAGCATCTATGCAATCATACACGAAGCAAACAATAGATCTAAATTAGAACAGTTGACCAAACATAAAATCAAGATGAAAAGTTTATAAGACGAATCTACGTCTCACTATGAACACACAGACATGAAAAGCACGTTAATCGGAGCTACGGTGAAAAAAATACATCTACCGATAGATTTGCTTTATATGTGGAAAAGAAAACTATAGGCTTTCATTTATTTTAACTATATAAATTCATATATATAAGATATTTTATAAATAATATAAATTGAATTAAGTCAATTTTAGATTTGAATTATAAAACTAAAATAAAATAAATCATATTTTATTTATAAAATCCAGTTACATAATTATTAATCAAAATATGATTTAAACCATGAAATTTCAGAAATAGTAATATGGTAAACACTGTTACTAACACGTAGATCTCATCGCTATGAATCTAACACAACTTGAACATGTCAATCAGAGCTAAAACATAGAAGATATAAAATAAACAAGATTTTCTTTAATAAAATAATAGATTAAATCTAACCTCGTATTTCAAAAGTTGAAAACATATTTAATAGTACTATGAACATGTAGATTATAAAATTACGAACCTAACGCAAGTTGAACGGGTCAAATCGGAGTTAAAACGGAGAAGATATGGCCTAAAGAAAACTAGTGGCAAAACTGTAAATAGGTGAAAACGTATTTTGGATCTAAACCGAAGAAACTACGCTTTCCAAAGAAGAAAATGTAATCTGTGATTACGCTTTGGACCATGGGTTTGAAAACAGAAAACTGGAGGGGCTCTATAGCAAGACGGCCTACGAAGGGGTATGTGATGATCTAGACCACTGGATCGGAGATGGACGGCTCGGATAAGATCAAGAAGGGAGAGGGAGGAGGCTGTCGGCCAGAACAGGAAGAGCGACGCAGTGGAGGCCATGGTCGGCGACGGAGCTCGTCGGTGAAACAAGAAAACGGCCTTAAAGGCCACGGTTTCCGACGGGGAAAACACGGAAAGAGAGAGGACGACACACGGAGAACTCAATGGAGGGGACTAAGACATCTGCGACGGCATGGTTTCGACGTGGGGCTAAGCTGAGCGGTTCGGACGTGGCGGCGAAACTATGACGACACGACACGGGTGGTAGAAAACAAGGGAGGGGACAAAAGCGGTACCCAAAGCTTCCTTACCTCAGGTAGATGCTCAGCAAAGCAGTCGCGGTGGTGGAGAGACAGCGACACGGCGAATCGACGACGGCGGCTCTAATGTTGCACGGTGGCTCGGTGTCTCGGCAAAGGTGGCTGCGACGCTGGAGCTTGGATTGGGAGGCACGGGCACGGGGCATTTGGTTTTTATGAGGCGGGGGTGGCTTGGACGGCAAGGCAACGGAGGGCGGCGTGGGCAGCGCGGAGTCGGGCGGCGGCGGTGGAGTCCGCGTCGGTCACGGCAGGGAAGAAAGGGTAGAGAGGCTGATAGCTGGGACCGCTGTCGGTGAAACAAGGGTGTGGGCCCGACCGGTCAGTGAGATAGGGCAAGGGAAGGAGGAGGCGCGGTGCGTCAGTGTTGGGCTGCGGCTTGGCTTAGGCCACGGGGATGGCTTGCTAGGCCACGCGGGAGAATGGGAAGGAGCAGGCCGAGAACGTAGGCTCGGGGGAAGAGAAAAAGGCCGGTGGTGAAGAAAGCCGATAGGTCGTCCTGCTGGGCTGCCTGCGGGAAAGAGGAGCCAGCGGGCCAGATTGAGTGAGAAAAGATTTTTCATTTTCCAAATCATTTTTTTTTCTATTTTGTTTTCAAAACCAAATCCAAATGTAAACCAAATCAAATTCAAATAGAGTTTAAAATACACTTTTCAATTCAAATAAAAATGAGAAATTTTGGTAAGTTTTCAAAAATAAATTTTTACAACTTTTTAAATGCTTTATTTCCTAATTTTCTTTTACTTCAAAGCCATTTTTAATTTCTTTCCAAAAGCAATTCAAACCATTTTAAATTTTAATCAAAACCATTTAACCAAATAAATCAAATGCATCGGCATGTATGCACAACTATGTTGCTAAGACCTATGATAAATTTTAAAATAACGAAAATTATTATTTTCCTATGTTTCATGAGCACAAAAATACGAAATTAAATTAATTTAACTACATTTCCAAGAGGAGCAAATTTTAGGGTGTTACAACTAATTTGACATTGTGGTATTCACGTGTATACTCCTTATCTAAGGTATATCTGGATAGTCCAAATGACTCCAAAACATAGCAAAATTGCGTTTATAACTCTCAGTGTCTCACAATGAAGATTATGTCTAACTTACCTTCTGTTATTTAGTTGACTAAGAAAGGGGAGCCACAGTAGAACCTGAAATACAAGGAAGTAGAATCCTTGAGCAGGTGTTAGAGCACCTGCTGCAAGAGGCCTGGTTTTTTTCCGCTCAACCTACAAGGAGAGCATGCATGCTCGTTGATCCCATGCAACTGCCATAGAAAATTCATAAGTACGAGTAGTAGTGACCGCTGGTGACCGGTGTTAATGAAGGAATCAGTGGCCACCCTGTGGCTTCAGTCTTGAAGGGGAGCTACTTCTAGTACTTAACTAGGTCCTTGTTTAGTTGGGGTGAATTTGGATTTTGGGGTTACTGTAGCACGTTCGTTTTTATTTGGCAAATAATGTTCAAACATGGATTAATTAG